GTTGGAAGTTTTTTTTTTGTTATAGGTGGTTATGTTAGAGGTTAGAGCAGTTAGTTAGAGGCTGCTTTTCTATTCTGTTGGGAGAATATGGTTAGGGAAAGTGGTTAAAAACTGTTAAAGAGTTGTTTGGAATTGGTTATGGATGTTATAATTTGGTTAAATTCTGAACTGGTTTTTTGTACTGGTTTATGCGGGTTTTTTTTAAATTGATTTTGCCTTCTATTTGAATGAGTTGGCCGGTTATAATCGATTTGGATTGTTTTTGCAGGGCTGTCTTGGATGGTTTTGATTTAATGATTGTTTCTGTACTGGTTTACGCAGGTAGGCAGGAGGTACAAAAAGGTAGCATATTTTTGTTGGCATAAGTGTATTGTTTTTAGAGTAAATCAAATTGGACAGCAAGACAGCAAGGCATAACAGCATAGGCAAGTTTTGGTTATGTTTGGATGCAGTCCCCGTTAGGTGAAGATTGTAACATAGGACCTTTGGCCATAAAGAATGGAACATGAAGATTAGATAAAGGTTGAAGATGGAATCACTAGGCTTAGGATAAGAGTTAAGGTTTAGGAATGGTTCTCTCATATTATTTTTGATGTAAAGGTCATGTAACTTAGAAATATTTAGTTGTAATTATCTTTATGGAATGAACATGATTTGAATATCATTGATGAACCTTGTTTAAATTGGTCTGATGCTTGAGTGAAATCAAATAGACGATGATATGTTCGAACATAGCATGATAACGCTTGGGTGAATTGAACTTGAATTTTTATGAATGATTTGGATCTCGAATGAGTTCGAAATTGATGATGAAAGGTATAGAATTCTTGGAACATGGACTTGAATAATGCTTTGCAATTTGAATTTTACACTTTACTTGTTGCTTGTATTTCAAGCAAACCACATGACTGAACCTTCCAAATTTAGCATGAAACAAATCCAAACTTATGTCCTTGAATAGGTTGAATTCATGGAATCACTTGAGTGAATGAATCCCCTTTCAATTCTCAATGGACGAATCAACCAGTCTTTATCAATCCCAGTTAATTTGCATTATAAGCAACAATCAATTGAAAGAATAATGTTAATGCCCTGAATCCACAAATCCTATCCTGTAACACGGTGACCATGTCTTGAGGGATTCTTTGAAAATGCATACGGAACTTTGAAAATGAGCACGTAACTTGAGACATGGGCAGGGATAATGAACAAGATAGCATAACACGTGAATCCAATGAACCTCCAATTAATGAATTAACACATCCAAATTACATGGATAAGAACCTTAATCCTTTTGAGATGTACCTTGGTGACTGAATGATACTGAGATATTGATAAGAAACCAAACTTTAACTCAAAATATCCTTATCTGAATCCCTGATGAAACCTTAGCATTCACAATCCTAATGCGCTTAGTTCTTGAAGTAACTTCGATACAAACCACTGTATCCCTTGATGAACTTGGAGGAAGATACCCTTATAGCCTGATAAGAAATAAGTCCACAACAACCACGAATCAAAACCCTATCTCCAACCATGAATATTGAAGAAACGACTTGAATCTCTTGAATGAAGATAAGAGCCTCAGAGCCATACAGGAACCCTAATTTTTCAAGATCCTTGATCACGTGCCAAAAATCTATTGATTAACAGTGCATGATATGTCAAATGACCTAATGTAGTGTATGCAGATGAAATGAAGAGTGCAAGATGCTTAAGCTAGATAAAAGCAAAGGGGTAGGACAAATTTGGAGTATTATAAGTGGTACTGGCGGTTTCGAATGGAGAGAGGAGTACGTGTTATGAGATGAAGTAATGGTGGACGGAATAAGGTTGAGGTCGGTGCTGAGATGAGTTTTCGGATAGTTGTCGTGGAGGATGATGGTCTTGAGGAGGATAAACTTTAGGTGTATAAGAGTGAGATAATGGAGAAACAATTGAAGAATGTTTATTATCATCTACTCTATCATGAAACTGCGAAGATGGTTGAGTGTTTGAAGAATTCTGATCATTTACAGTATCGTTGAATTTAGGTGCAGGATGAATGCTCGGCATATTCTTGTAGTTGGCAGGGTTATGATAACTACGTGTTGAATCCTATTTTGATCCAGCACTAGAAGTAGGAATTTCGGTAGCCACGGGATCATATCTAATACTATGAGAACTCGATGGAACAGACAGGTCCTCATCGCCAGCAGGTAGACCAGCCACAAGCTTCCTTCCTTCTTTCAAAGCCTTTCTTACATCAGATGCTTTCCATGCTGCATACTTCTGCTTCTGCTCCAGATCAGATTGAACTAGTCCGAATTGATTAAGGATCTCAAAAAAAGATGCTAGCAGCGTAAAAATGTTTTTTTTCCGTACTTATCTGCTCTTCCAGCACGATCTTGCATGTCTGCTTTTCCAAACATATTCAAAGTAAATCCCTCAAGATATAAGTTATCTTCAGGCCCTAGCTGGATTTACTTTTTATCATCTTCGAGATGTTTCATTATTGAAACTAGAAGACAATTAGTGGCTTTGGTGCGATCACTTTGCGGAATCTTCAATCCATGCTCTATCGCATACAATCGACAGTAATAAGTGACGAGAGGTTCGTGTTTCTGCAATTCAACAGCGCGTTAAAGGTATGGTAAGAGGAATGTGAGAGCAGTGGCTGTACAGGGAGTACTGGAAGGGACTATTCGGTGTATGGAAAAGGTGAATAAGGTTTTTTGAGTTTTGGAGAAGGTTGAACAAATATATAATTTCTCTAATTTTTCTATAGTTTCTATTATTTTCACTTCTGGTTTTCTTTGTGTTTATTATTTTTATATTATTATTCTAGCACTTCTAAATGCCAACAAAAATGAAGTAGCTCAAAAATCCAACAAAGTGATTATTCAAGTGATCATATGACATAAAAGAAAGTGATGCAAATGAAGATTCAAGCATGGAAGTGATGATACTGATGGATATATGAGAACATTATGTGGAAGTAATAGGGAGAAGAAATACCTATCGGGGTCTCTCTAATGGAGCTACAAAAGCAGTAAGTTCTCCCTCCCTCTCTTGTTGATGCTCAAACTTCTTTTACTTTGAGTCTTGCTGTTAAAACTTGAACAAACTTCTCCTCCTTTTCTGTTTTTCCTCCCCTTCAAAGTGGATGTCTTGGCCTCCTTTTATAGGCATAGTGGAGTGGAATTGAGAGGGAAAATTGTAGAGATTTGAACAGTTATGAATGCCCTATTTTTATGCTTTTTTTCATACAATTTTAAGTTGCCATTTTGATGTAATTTCTTGGTTGTTATGATGCAGGGAAGTAGGTTGTAGCGGACTGGTTTAGGCTGATTTTTTAGCAGTTTTTGGACTGTTACAAGCTGCTGTTTTTTGGACTGATTTGTATCATTTTTGGCAAAATCTGGATTGTTTTGCTGGCTGCTGTTTTAGACAGAAAATACCACAAAAATTGGACTGTTATTTGTTGAAACAAGGCTGGAAAATATGGGCAGCAGACTGCTATTTTTTGTACTGGTTTGTAGGGGCTACAACCTGATATTGGGCTGATTTGAATTGTTGAACATCAAGGCTTATTGGGGCAAGAATAGAAGCTTTAAAAAATAATAATATGTCTAGAATTTAATTCTATATGTAACATGAATGGAAACTTGTCTTGAATATAATTTTCTCAATTCCTTTGTAATTGTAAACACCTTGAATCTTTATTTGTCTTGATGAAATTCGAAATCTTCCACTTGGATTTGGAAAAGAATTGATTGATACTTGAATGAATTTTTTAATGATGAATAAACAATGATGCAAGCCTTAAGACCTCAATCTTGCATCTTGTATTAGAGATCCAAATGATTTACATGAATTGATCTTGTAATGAAGTTGTAAACATCATGTATTTATTCTTATGACAAATGATTATTTTGAATCAAATATCTCTTTTCAATATCGTCCTTAATAAATGCCTTATGTGAATTCAAATGGCCATGGTGGGAATCCATCAAAGTAATCACACAAATAATTTTGAATAAATATTAATGTGATGAACGATTATTCTTGAATGAGCCCTTTTGATAACTTCTATTTAATTAACATTTGAATTCACATGATGAAAATTCCAAGTATTCTAAATAAATTCTTCCAAAGCGATCTTAAATTCAATCACCCCGCTCTAACGAAATTCACCCCAGGTCATGTAAGTATAAGAAATCGAACCATACTTAAAAGCTTCAAATGATCACTAGAAGAGGGATTTGAGGCGAAATGTTATCGCATTGAGAAATCAGCAAAGTGAACTGAACTTAGAGATCCAGAAACTCTTAAATCATGACAAATGTTCCATAAAGTCCTTTCATGGCTTTCTAAACACGGTTTGTCTTCAACTTTTAAAGAAAAATTACAGATAACTTCCGGTTGAAGTGTTTTAAATTGACTTGCATTGCCTGATCTTTTCTTGTATTTCAAGGCAAGGCAAAACACACGTGAACCAGTGGTCATGGAACCTTAACTATTTTTTTTGTGAAGAATTTCGGAGGATTTTGAGGCCACTTGTTGAACACAGCGTGGAAATAAACACACGATTCTCTGAAAGTTCCCCGAAACAAGCTATCGCACTTGAGACATTCGTGATCAAAATAAGCCTGAACGATGTTCGAGACTCCATGCTCTAAGATTAGAAGTTGTGCCCTGATGAATCAGTCTTCAAGAATCAATGATCAACTGTACTTCTGTCTTGAGAGACTCAAAACCCTAATTGAGGCGTGACGCCTGATGCTCTTGATTCAGACTTGTCTCTGCACATGAAATCAAAGAAACAAAAAACATACACTTTGTGCTTAATTTGAAGTTAGTCATGCATAAGATAAAATGCTCACAACACTCGATAACATCTACACATGCAATGCTCGAAGGTGAAACGTTCGAAACTGACCATATTTCGTGACTTTGATGTATATAACAAAAAAATACAAATGAAGATGGGATCTTAAGTCAAAAATTGGGGTATGACAATGATACTTGGGGAAATAACTAAACATAACAAGGGGAAGGCACCTCAAGCCCTTCATGAGGGTTATGGTGATAATCATCAGGTTGTGGTTTGTATACCATCTTTTATGTTATTTCTTGCAATATATTGATACTATTTTTGTTCGCAATCCTTTGAAAGTGCTAAGCATGGAGCTAACGGTAGCAGTTCATTTCATTCAAATTTTGTTGGACAGGAAGGATCAGGATACCTTTGGTAAAAGAGTTCTTATAGTTTCAATGCCACTCCTAAGCATGTGCATGGTTCCACTAGTGCTCTCAAATCTGCAAGTGATGCACGTGATGGAGCAGTTGCTGTTCTCCCACAATCGACAATAATTGATAAAGCTGAAAATAAAGCTCTAAGGAAACTTCGAAGTTTTAAGCAATTTGACACGGTCAATGATACTTCAGACCATTACTTTATCGAGAAATCCCCCAAAATGCAGGTTAACTTCTCTTTTTTCTTTTTTTTAATGACCCACTTTGTTTCAGTCTTAGTCTTAATTATATGAATTTACATATTTACCTATTTCATGAGCAGAATCCAAAGAGTTGGCTAAAAAAATCTAGAAAGAGTGGAAGATTTTGGAGAAGCATTTGCTGGGTGAGTTTAGTATTCTGAATACTAAATAGCCTGTAATATTTTCTATAGCATATTATATGCTCAATCTGACCATTTGTTCGACTTTTTCTTTATTTCTCATTAGATACAATATTTGTGTGAGTCTACGAATCAAGGATGGATCTCATGAGGGTTGTGATTATTGGAGCATAGGGGACTTCTTAACATGACGGTCTTTTCTTTTTTGATATTTTCTTTCCCAGTAAATATCCCAATGTACCCACGATACGCGGTTGAGGACACTATAACTGACTCACATTATTTTATTTATCACTCTTTTTAGTTCAATTCTGACAAAAAAGTCATTTTTTCCTCGTGGCAGAAAGTCCATTACCACTCTGGAGGTCTTAGGCTCAACCCAAATTTGTACAAAAATGGAAAAGTATGTCTCAGTCTACCTAACACCTGGTCTGGCAGCACATAAGAGATATGGACTAAAGGTGTTTCAACAATGCTACAAGTTCTAGTCTCCATACAAGGGCTAATCTTGAATGCACATCGTTACTTCAATGAACCTGGATCGCAAGATTTGATAGGCACGACAGACGGTGAAGAGCTGGCCTGGGATGATAACGAAAATACATTCATTTTATCATTGAGGACAATGATGTATACGATAATAAAGCCTCCAAAGGTTTGGTTCTACTCTTGGTTCATTTCTTGTATATCTCTAGCGTTTACTTGTAGCACTTACGTTTATTTCCTTTTCTTGGGGTTCAAGCAAATGATTTAAGTTATTTTTTGGTTTTCAGGGTTTCGAAGACTTAGTCGTAGGGCATTTCTACAGCCGAGCACATGATATTTTTGCGTCATGTAAAGCATACATGGAAGGTGTTCAAGTTGGTTGTTTGGTCAAAGGTGGGGTTCAAGATGTTAATGGGAGTAAAGGAAATCAATCTTCAGCTCATTTTATATCTGGTTTAGTTGGATGCGTGCCTTCTCTTGTCCAAGAGTTCGAAAAAGTTAGAGTTAACGACTGTAAGAAATTCATGTCTCCTCCGGTACCACGCAGTACCAGTAGCAGAAAGTGATTTTGCTTAACTACATGGGTGATCATAGAACATTTTTTTCAAAACTCAATGGTGAGACTGATGATACTAGAGGCTTATTACATCAACTTCATGTTGGTTTTTTTCTTTTTTTTCTTCTTTTATCATCTCTTGTTTCTTTCTCTAAAAGAAAAGCAAGCAAATATAGTATTTGTTTTTCATCGTCGTTTGTAATTACTGAAATTTGATGTTAATTTTTAAGTAGTTTCATCCTTTTTTCTTACAAAGTTAGAGTCACCACTATGCATTATTACATGTATTTTATAGGTAAAGATTCTATCTATATAACCATTTATTGACAAATACAACTTAGAGTTTGAAAAAAAAGGTAAGTGTGATTTGTTATTTTTAAGACTTATGTAGTGTGGGATTTAGAGTCTCTTTCACAATCTCAAAATTTTAATTAAAGAAGCCTTAATTTAACGATAGATTTGACTCAACTAAGTTTTCACCAAAAAAGTTTTAATTGAGTGAGATTAATAAAACAGCGATCATTATTACTATAATTATTGATCGTACCTGATCAGAATGGACCGTCATAGCTAACTCGAGTAGAAGTTGAGTGGGATGGGGTACCTACAAGACACTCTGATGTCAAAGTAAGTTGCGGAATAAGCAAGCAAGCGTGAGAGTAAGAAAGTATTGAATACCTGGCCCTCTCGAAAGAGGGGGTACTTATAGCCCCCAACGCTGGACCAAAGTCTCTTCATTGGGCTAGTCAAGCAGGCCCAACGTAGAGACTGCCATGTCCTACGTGAGTAGTGGGGATCCGCACGTGGTCCCCTACCTGGATGACGTCCTTCACAAGGTTAGGAGCATATGGATGCGATCTTTCCGGGGCCACGAAGACTTCGTGATATCCGAAGATGTTGGTAATAAGTCCTACGAGGAGGATGCTCGGGGAGGAGTATTTGCCCGTCGTGGGTGATCCCCGCCATATGCAAGGTTGAGTAAGGGGACCAGCCTTAGTCGACGAGCTAGTCGGGGTGTCCTGGAAGCCTTCATGGTCGGAGGTGATTGTCCTTAATCTACTCGGGGTGTTGTCCCCGTGTGGTGAGGTTGTCTCCTCGTGGGGAAAAGGTGGTAGTTGCCCGCCATATTCGAGGATAGAACTGGTCAGTGGTGCAGGTTGACACACTTGGATTGGGCCTTACTGGGAGTTGGGACAAGGGCAGGCCCAGTCCAAAACAGGAGCCCCCCAAGTCGTTGCTCTTGGTGAAGGAGTCATGACTTAGTTCTAGTTCTTCCTTTTACGAGGTGCGTTGCTTGACATGGAGCTTTTATACCATAAAAGGGGGACGTCGCCGGTTCAAGATTTTGCCCCTGGCATAGGTCGGAGTGGGTTCGAGGAGAACTCGCGGGGAGTAGACGATGCATTTGTCAGACACGTGGCATGGCTCTTAGGAATAGTAATGATGCTCTAGGGAGTATAGGCCATCATTACCTGTACATGTAGGTGTCAAGGAGAAAGGCGGCTTGTGAGCTACCCGACGCGATGTTTCACATTCCACGTCAGCTCAATAAATAGGGCTTTAGGGCTCATAATATACTTTCATATTTTTGCGCTCTCCATTTTCTCTGCTGTCAACACCGTGCCGCTTTCCAATATCCTTGAATCCTCCGCAGAGTCCACCGTGTACTCTTCCTCAACCACCGTCGTTCTTCATCTATTCTTCAAGTAAGTGTTCCTTTTCCTTGATATCTTGTGTATAGATATATGTTGATGATGTTTAGTAGTAGGATTTGATAGATTTTGATGATGTTTAGTAGTAGGATTTTGTATCTGGGGGGATCTGCCCGGGGAATTCATGCGTTTAGTCATATGATTTGTGATAATGCCCGCAATATTCCTCCTTTCGTCAGTACTTAGGTTAGTCTTCCCCATGATCTCCATGTGTTTGGCTAACAAATTTATGAACTTGGTCGTTGTTGTACCCCAAAATTTGCCCTCCCATATTCTTTAAAATTTGCAAAGAACATGCTTCAAAATCTCCCCATGGGTTGCATAGTTCAAGGGCCTCCTAACAGTCAAAAACTAGCGTTTTGATTCTGGCAAAGAAGTTGAAGTTTCCAAGGGTCCAATCAAGTCCCACATGCCTACAAACATTGTCAAGTATCCTTATGCCAAGTTTCAAGACTCACAGCACAAAATTGCACAGTCAAAAACCCTAATTGCTCAACAGTCAACTATAGGGGCAAAATGGTCATTTGGCAGTCAAAAGTCCAAATTTTTGATCAACATCTTATTTTGAAGCCACAAACATCATTTGATCAATTCTTGATCATGATTCTCAAGGCATGGCTCAAAAAGTCTCAAGATGCAAAAGTTTCCATATTTGGACAGTTGAAAAAGTCAACTGTAACTTGACCAGGGCATAACTTCCACATGGTTTATCAGAAAAATTCCATCCAAAGCTCATTTTGAAGAGAATGACATTTCTTACAACTCCTCTTCACACTTCAAGTCCAAGAAATTCTCTCACAAAAAGTTATCAATCTCAACATTATAGGTCATTTTCAAAAGTCAACAAAAAGGGACTTTAGGTCAAAGACCATAACTTGAGATTGGTAAATCAAAATGACATGGGACCAAAGGCATTGGTTAGAGGACTTCAAGACCTTTCCAAAATGTCCAAGAACATGATCAAAGATTAAAAATTGAGCAAGATATGCCTTGTGGAAGTTGGGAAATTTTTGGGAATTTTGAAAAGTCAGCTTTACTTCAAATGCCTCAAAATTGCTAATGGGCCACAAATTCTTCCAAGAATCATCATCCAAAGGTTATGCACGACCATTTGACCCAAAGGGGATTTATTTCATCATTTTTTATTATTTATTTGAATTTTTATCACTATTAATTCATTTAATGAAATAAAATATGACAAAAATAGAAAACCATGTTTTTTAATCCCTTTTTGCAGCATATTCTCTCCAATAAAACCTCAAGATTTGTGCACACCCAATTTGGAAAGGTTTGGCCATGATTGGTATCAAAAGCACATGGAAAAGATTTGAAAGGATTTTCATTAAAAATCAAATATTTGATTCATCAAAACATTGATCTTTTGGCTTGAATTCTTACCCTAATCCATTGGCATACATAAGCAGATCACAACCCTAATGCATAGAACCTTGAAGCTGCGCCTGAGACCATATACAAAGTTTGCATTTTTTGTCAAAAACTCAAAAACTGAAATCACAGTTCTAGCGCAATTCAAAGCAAAGTAGTCATTCCAATAGCTTGCCAAGGCATCAAGGAAGCTTTCTGCATTCTTTTCCAGTCCCCACGCATCAAGAAGTGGTAGAACAAAGTCCAATTTTCTCAAACTTTACTCATATTCGTGCTTTGATTTATATGCCATATTCATACATTTTAATGATCGTTTTGTACTAATATGCACTCCCTGAAACTAATGGTGTATTTTAATTGAGTTTTCGTGCCCTATACATGAATCCACCATTGGAGCTCGTTAGGGTTTCAAAGCTGTAAAATTGGGGCTTTGCGCTTGGGGAAAAATTGGCCAACAAGACCTGGACCATTAGACTTGTGACCTTCATACGAACTGATTACACATGCCGCGCTCAATTTATGAGCGACGGTGGCCTAATCGCTATTTTCTTGCACTGTAGTTAGTGGGGGTTTAAAACCCCCGCTATCCTTTCTCTTTTTTTCAGGTCAAAACGAATGAACAAAGAAGAAGATGAGTTGTTAGTTGATGATTGGCTGATTCAAACATTGGCGCCTTTTTTTTATTATTCCACTAACGCGTGTTTTTTCTCTTTTATTGACCATAGCTTATCAAATAAACAAAGCAACACACTTGGCCTGTTGGTGGCTGCGTTGTCACACAAGCATTGGGACCTGGGTTCAATTCCCAGGTCCCCTCCCTTTCTCAATGTATTTTGTTTTAATCTGATTCCATGCAGTGTACGCCCAGAAATCCACCATGCACCCACTATCAAAGCTTGCCAAATGTCCTGGAAGATGAATCTGAAGGTCAGGATGGGAGGTCCAGGGAACACTCCAGTCAACGCATGAGCACACGCGCCAGAAAGTCAATATGGGCCTCCAATGAATGGGCCAAATTGCTGGCAACTTACCTCCAAAATTGGGGTCAATACCCCCCATTGGTTTGCATTCTATTTTTCATTCTTTTTATTTTTTTCTATTTTATTTGTTTTATTTAGTTTTATTTTAATTCTTTAAATTAATTTTTCATAACATAAAAATACCAAAAAAAATCAGAAACTATAAAAATAAAAAATATGTTTTAATGTTTAATTCACTAACATTTTTGTAAATAAATTCAACAATTAATTTAGTTATAATTCTAGGTTTAATTTTAATATTTTTTTAATAAACTAAAAAATGTAGAATTAGGGTTTCTAGTTTTTTTTTATTATTTTTTTTTAATAATTAAAATTTCTTCTTATTATTACCAATAACTAATCATTTTTGTAAATAAATTGCCATGTAAATAATTAGTTAAAACTAGGTCAAATTCAAACATTTTTTTTAACAAATTAAAAATAGTTTAGAATTAGGGTTTGAATTTCATTTAATTTTCTTACTAAATTCCATAAATACAAAAACTCAAAAATAATTTCCTTTTCTCATTTAATTTAATTAATTTCGTTATTTTAATTCAATCTCTTTAAAAGGGTCCAACGCCCTCGCATTCCCGACTTTACTTCTTCTCGCATTTTGCTTTTATTTCTTTTTGTGAATTTCATGTATTTATCCCAAAGCCTTGTAATAGATTAATTAGACATTTATCTTTTCGCATTTTATTTTACCTCAAATCGGGTCTTGGATTAATTTGGCGATGTAGACCCGCGCCTTTGTAATAGCGTAGGACTTTTAATTCCGCATCTTTTTAACTGTTAACAACTTGCATGAAAGAATGAATGCCAAAAATAAAAACAAAGCGTAGATCACCAATGCATGACCAGATAAATATAATTGAACATGACACACAAAT